GAAACCAAGACTTTTGCGATTACAGAAGTCATCAAATGATAGCGCCTGGGGAGTAGGAGTGATACTGAGGGCTGCAGGGCCTGGGTTAGCCTCTACATCACCAGAGGAACAGAGGAGGACTAGAATAAGGATACGGCTAAAGGCTTTAAGAACTGGTCTTCTAGTGCGTTGGGTACATAAAATAAAGGGGGCAGATTTCCGGGTGTTATAGAAAAGATTCAGGGCATTATGTACAGACAAGGATATGGAAGGATATGAGTAAAGTGGAGGTAAACCTAAGCATTGGGTAACAATGAAAGAGATAGTATCTCTAGAGGCATCAATTGAGTCGGTCTCTGAGTATATGGGGGGAGGGACAAAGGAGCTATCTAAGGCAGGTTTAGCTAGGCTGGGGGGTCTACAGTGATATAGTACAATTAGAAATAACCGAAACAACAATAAACTAACCATGTTTGGGCTGAGGCTAAACATAAACAGGATGTAGTACCGTAAAAAGGAACAGTCCAGCAGATATCAGCTGTATAGCTGAGTTATCATAAGGCTCCGGTGGTGAAGCACTTGTGAGTAAGAGGCCACGGATAGCGTGTGCTAGCGGGCCAGGGCTAACAGATGGATGGAATCTTCGTGGTTAACGTCGTAACCACATCAGACGATTTCGTCGGCAGACCAGTCGTGTAGGATCGGCGGGGCTCCGTGTCAACACTAGGTGGTCCCGTCCGGTTGACAGAGAGGTAGATAGCCGGGAGATGGGCCTAGCTCAGGATGATTAGCCAGACCACAGCGTCCGTTTTGTTGTAGCCAGCTGGTAGCGATGAATCCGGAGTTAAAGGTCCAGTGATTCAGTGATTCCGGCGGAAAAACTGATATTTTCTGGGTCGATAACGCGCTGTGCAGACTGGCCGAATATCCGGTGATCAATGTCCAGTGATTAAAATTAATCCAGCGGGAAAAAATCCAATGTTCTGGGTGAAACACCGCTAGCTGTGGCTAATAGCAAGTAGCTAGTTAGCTGGCTAGCTAGTTTCAACTGGAGATTCTAGATTCTAGATAAAGGTAAGTCAATAATAGAGTCCGTTCCACATTGAGTGAGGCGGGTTGCAGGAAAGTATATTTTGTAGAAGGGTGAAAAGTCTGATAGGGAAATATGTACGAAAAATACAAAAAAACAGGGTATTTACAGGCTATTTACAGACACACGACAGAAACAGGACTGCACTACTACTGTTCTCTGCGTGAAGGAGGGGAACTTCATGACCAGAGATTCTCTGCACTGTGTTTATAAACGCAGAAATACAAGAGAACTGGAAAGTGTGGAGAGTGGATCAGTAGTCACATGCAAATGATACTGCTGGCGAGGGGAAATAAACAACTGTAAACTGCTGGTTTGGGTCCAAAACAAACAAATACAAAGTCACAGATGAACAAACTAATAAATAACATGGTTGGAGGTGAATACACATTGTTAAAAGAGACGGCTTTGAGACTTATTTGTATTTCTGTCACTTTCGAGGTAAGAGGGAAGCTTTGCACAGGCTTATCCAGCTATCCGGTAAACAAAACCTGCCCTGGCAGGTAGCTAGCTCGGCTTTTCTTATTCAAATAATGCCTTGTGCAGAAAATAAATAAACAATAATATGCCATTTAGCAGACGCTTTTATCCAAAGCGACTTACAGTCATGCGTGCATACATTTTTTTTGTGTACGGGTGGTCCCGGGGATCGAACCCACTACCTTGGAGTTACAAGCGCCGTGCTCTACCAGCTGAGCTACAGAGGAATAAATACACTGTTTACTTTGATCAATTTGGACAAACAGGAAACTAGTCTGGGGATCTTGAATTAGCTCCGCCAACACCTGCAAGGTAACAGCAACTAGCCTGCAGTCCTGCAATTCTCTGAACATGTTGAGACTTGTTCTCCAAAGACTCACAAAGAGTCTGTTGCAGTGCCCATATTTCCTGTTGAGAGCAAGTTTTTGAAACTATTGAGAGCTTCAGTGGCAACATGGAAGTACATTGTTTTATTATCTTGTTAGAACATCTCTTTTAGACATCCGTCAGCACATTACCTGTGAAACAAATATACGGTCACATTCTACAAATCCAGCTTTGTGTTTTGAAGCCCTAGTGTCAGTCGCGGTTGAGTAATCATTTTTTTTTTATTGCCAGTCCATTTCCCTTCCATCAACACCTTGGAGATTCCCTAAAAAACAAACCACTTCTATACAGCTATGACCAGAAGTTACGTTTTCGTAGCAGGTTAGGAGAACTTATGCAGCAGTTTAGGATAATTAACGTAGCAGGTTAAGAGAATTAGGTTAAGGTTTGGAAAATGGTTTTTGTTATACTTTAATTTACGTAGCAGGTTAGGAGAGCATTTTGGCTAACCCTAATCAAACCAAGCTTTATATATATATAGCACATTTCAGACATGAACGCAATGGAACGCGCTTCACGGGAAAAAAAAAACATAAATCAATATTTGCTACACAACAAACATCAGAGGATAAAAACTAACTTCAGTTCGTAGCTGTATCGAAGTGGTGTGCTTTTTTAGGTAGTCCCCAACACATTTGAGTTCCTGACCCTGTTCCACTGTTCACCTCCCTAACAGCCTATGTATTAGTCAGTTAAGATGATTCAAACAACCACACAGAGACAATGGAGGAGGATCACAGGAAGGGCCTCTTCACAGGTTATCAGATCTACCAGCTCTAAAAGGCCATTAAGACACTCGACACCTGTCATTATCCAATCATCTGGATTCAGGTGGGAAATCGGGGGGTTTGGAGGCGAGAGGTGAGGAGAGGCACTTGTCAAATGGGTCAGACAAGACAGAGAGGAGAGAAATTGTGCCAGTATCCCAAAACCATTTGAAGGAAATCTGAAAATTCGTACGAGGCAGGCAATATAGCAACTGCTTAGAAAAGCAAGCCACCTGGATATCCAGATGTTAGTTTAATAGAGAGAGTAAACCATGTACACACACACACGGCTATTCATGTTTTATGACAAGGACTTGCATGTATGACAAGTTACTTTTAAAGGGTACAATTGAGTCCTTTGAGAGAGGGGCCTCACTGCAGCCTCACCTGCTCCTCATGTAATCTAGTGTTGGAGGGGGTAAAGGTGGACAGGTGCAGTATAACTAGGATTGTCTGGAGCTCCCTGTGTGTGTGTGTGTGTCCCTTATCCCTGCACTGGAAATCTGTCCTCTGTCCCCCCAAGCAGCGCACCGAGCGGTCGACGTGTGTGTGTGTTTGGGGGCCTCTTGAGAACAACCCCCTTGCTGCCCAACCTTAACACAGTACATTGGAATGCGTGGAACGTGAGAGGGGTGGCGACCCCAGCCTTTGAAGAGCCTGTGACCTCTGTTGCTCCCCTTCTGCCGCTCAGTAAGGCATTAACAGACAGCCTGGAGGCGCTAGGCTCTTACCTCACACCACTTATCAAAACCTCTCAAAAACCCTCCCGTCCCAGACATGGGGCTTCCACAAAACAGGTGTCCTCCGAAGTAAACTCGTTTCAGACTCATATCTCAGACTTGTCCTGTTTTTTTTTATTCTCGTCTTTAAGTGATAGACCTCCGTGTGAGAGAGAGAGAGAGAGAGAGAGAGACCGAGGGGTCCAGTATGAAAAAAGAAAATGTATGCACTCACTAACTGTAAGTCGCTCTGGATAAGAGCGTCTGCTAAATAACTAAAATTTAAAATGTATGTAAAATGTAGTTTGGAATGGAACCAGGCGAGCCACCAGGGCTGTGTATTTACATCCAACGGCCACACGGCGGCAGTATTGGGTTCGGAAAATAAAATGTGTGGATGACCAAGTCAAAACACTACAATTAGTCCTAGCTGTATGAAATTAGAAATATGTCTTGATAAATAACATCAATCAACCAATATATATATTGATTGTTCTCATGATTATGTGTTTGTGTCTTATGTTTTGATTTATGAATGTTAATAAATACACAGACAACCTTATTCTTTAGTGGGATGATTTTTATTGGTTTGTGATTATTAAAGTTTAAAACAAAGCAGCTGCAGCGATCATTTCAACAGACGGTAAAGATTCTATTTTGGAAAGACTGCACAGCAGAACACCCAGAGGAACAAAATGAGAGTAGAGTTCTAGAGAACACCAGTTAGAGTTCTAAATTCTAGGAGAATCCTAGCCTCCAGCCAGTAGTGTGCAGGATCCACACATGACATCTGCCATGGATTGAATACCCCTGGTGTCTGACTTTAACAAGACATGTACCCCTAATGCATCCATAGTATTACTATCTTTCTTTTATCTGGTGAAAATGTGTTTCTGAGCCCTACTCAAACTGAGACCAGGATTCAATACCAGCGCTTTGTCATTTCCAGTTGAGCCGACAAATGCTACATTTATCATGAATGCAGTCTTATTGTCATATTATATTCGGAAACCTATTGAATTTAGCAGGGTTAGGGTAAGGACTGAATATTCAATGATAGATTGATAGATAGATAGATACTTAACAAAAAGGTTTCATGAGCTGAAAAAAAAGATCCCAGAAATGTTCCATACGCACAAAAAGCTTATTTCTCTCAAATGTTTTGCACAAATTGGTTTACATCCCTGTTAGTGAGCATTTTATCCTTCGTCAAGATAGTCCATCCACCTGACAGGTGTGGCAAATCAAGAAGCTGATTAAACAGCATGATCATTACACAGGTGCACCTTGTGCTGGGGACAATAAAAGGCCACTCTAAAATGTGCAGTTTTGTCACACAACGCAATGCCACCTCTGCCCAGTCATGTGAAATCAATAGATTAGGGCCTAATGAATTTATTTCCATTGATTGATTTCCTTATATGAACTGCAACACAGCAACAGTTTTGAAATTGTTGCATGTTGCGTTTCTATTTTAGTTCAGTATAGATAGATAGTGTGACAGGTAGGTAGGTAGTGATAGATAGATTGATAGAGTGATAGAGTGATAGAGTGATAGAGTGATAGAGTGATAGACTCATATGTTAGATAGATAGATGGTAGGGTAAGGTACTCCTGCATTTGGTCATGTGTTTGGACTCTTCAGAGAGGTGGTGGTGGTGTTGCTAGGGGTGTTGCTACGGGGTGCCAGCCTCAGTTTGATTGGTCGTTTAGGCATCAGCAGAAACTGGCTGTCCATCTCAAACGGAATCTATAGAGAATAACAGAACAGAACAGAACATAACCCTGGTTGTCCATCTCCAACAGGATCTATAGAGAATAACAGAACAGAACAGAACCCTGGTTGTCTATATCCAACAGGATATATAGAGAATAACAGAACAGAATATAACCCTGGTTGTCCATCTCCAACATCCATATGCTCAGTTGTGTGTGTGTGTGATTAGATTAACCATTACACACTAACCTAACCACTGATCTAGGACCAGATTCCCCTGACCCAGTACTAACCTGAACCATTACACACTAACATAACCACTGATCTAGGACCAGATTCCCCTGACCCAGTCCCAACCTGAACCATTACACACTATCCTAACCACTGATCTAAGAATAGTCCTGACCTGAACCATTAGACAGTAACCTAACCACAGATCTAGAGCGCCCCCCAGTGTCTTTATGTGTGAAGTGTCAACATAGAGTTGAATAGAGGACTAGGGAGAATCTCAATTTCATTTCCTTGATTCCTTGCATTCTTTCTCATCCAATGGGTTTTGAGGAGGAGGTGGGGCTGGTGAATGCAAGGAATCAAGGAAAGACAATTGAGATTCTTCCTTATTCTTCTATATTTGCAACGATGGCACTGACCATGTTAAAACAGGTGGTGACCATGTTAAAACAGGTGGTGACCATGCCAAAACAGGTCCATGTTAAAACAGGTGGTGACCATGCTAAAACAGGTGGTGACCATGTTTAAACAGGTCCATGCTAAAATAGGTGGTGACCATGTTCAAACAGGTGGTGACATTTTAAAACAGGTGGTGACCATGCTGAAACAGGTCCATGTTAAAATAGGTGGTGACCATGTTAAAACAGGTGGTGACCATGCTAAAACAGGTGGTGACCATGTTAAAACAGGTCCATGCTAAAACAGGTGGTGACCATGCTAAAACAGGTGGTGACAATGTTAAAACAGGTGGTGACCATGTTAAAACAGGTGGTGACCATGCCAAAACAGGTCCATGTTAAAACAGGTGGTGACCATGTTAAAACAGGTCCATGCTAAAACAGGTGGTGACCATTTTAAAACAGGTTCATGCTAAAACAGGTGGTGACCATGTTAAAACAGGTCCATGTTAAAACAGGTGGTAACCATGCTAAAACAGGTCCATGTTAAAACAGGTGGTGACCATGCTAAAACAGGTCCATGTTAAAACAGGTGGTGACCATGCTAAAACAGGTGTTGACCATGCTAAAACAGGTGGTGACCATGTTAAAACTGGTTGTGACCATGTTAAAACAGGTGGTGACCATGCCAAAACAGGTCTGTGTTAAAACAGGTGGTGACCATGCTAAAACAGGTGGTGACCATTTTAAAGCAGGTGTTGACCATGTTAAAACAGGTTCACGTTAAAACAGGCGGTGACCATGTTAAAACAGGTCCATGTTAAAACAGGTGGTGACCATTTTAAAACAGGTCCATGTTAAAACAGGTGGTGACCATGTTAAAACAGGTCCATGTTAAAACAGGTTTCAGAGTTGAATACAGGACAAGGGAGAATCTCAATTGCATTTCCTTGATTCCTCGTATTCCTTCTCATCCAATGGGTTTTGAGGAGGAGGTGAGGATAGAGAACATGAGGAATCAAGGAAAGACAATTCAGATTCTTCCTTATTCTTCTATATTTGCAACGATGGCATTGACCATGTTAAAACAGGTGGTGACCATGCTAAAACAGGTGGTGACCATGCTAAAACAGGTGGTGAACATGTTAAAACAGGTCCATGTTAAAACAGGTGGTGACCATGTTAAAACAGGTGGTGACCATGTTAAAACAGGCGGTGACCATGTTAAAACAGGCGGTGGCCATGTTAAAACAGGTCCATGTTAAAACAGGTGGTGACCGTGTTAAACAAGTCATGACCATGCTAAAACTGGTGGTGACCATGTTAAAACAGGTGGGGACCATGTTAAAACAGGCGGTGACCATGTTAAAACAGGCGGTGGCCATGTTAAAACAGGTGGTGTCCATGTTAAAACAGGTCCATGTTAAAACAGGTCCATGTTAAAACAGGTGGTGACCGTGTTAAACAAGTAATGACCATGCTAAAACTGGTGGTGACCATGTTAAAATAGGTGGTGACCATGTTAAAACAAGAGGTTTTGAATGATACTGATATTTGATGATGTCATATTCCATCTGCTCAGGTGAGCGTCTCACCTCGGTCTCGTCGCAGACGGAGAATGTGAAACTCTGGAGGATCTCGACCATGGCCAGTTTGATCATGATCAGGGCGAAACGCATCCCGATACAGTTCCTGGGCCCCGCCCCGAACGGCATGTACGTGTACGGGTCAATAGACTCCTTGTTCTCCTTACTGAACCTGGACAGGGAGAAGGCAGACACATTACACATTGGATTGTAGTTGATTTGTGGTTGTGGTTCAGTCACATTACACATTGTATTGTAGTTGATTTGTGGTTGTGGTTCAGTCACATTGTATTGTAGTTGATTTGTGGTTGTGGTTCAATCACATTACACATTGTATTGTAGTTGATTTGTGGTTGTGGTTCAGACACAACACATTGCATTGCAGTATAATGATGCACTGTATTTGTGGTTACATTGCAGCAGTGTGTTTATCCTTGTGTTGTGGTAAAGTAGTGCTTGTGTTGTGGCTGTGCTGTGGTTGTGATATGGTTGTGCCGTGGTTACGGTGCGGTCCAGTACCTCTCTGGTTTGAACTCCTCAGGGTCGGACCAGATCTCTGGGTCGCGGTGGAGTGTCCACGTGGGAACCATGACAACGCAGTCTTTGGGGATGACGATGCCGTTGATCTCCACCGTCTTCTTGGCGACCCTCTCCAGTCGGGGGGCGATGGGATACAGTCTCAGAGACTCGTTCAACACACTGTCCAGATACTCCATCTGCATCAGAGCTTCGTACTGGATAGGAGCCTGAACCGGGGTTACACATACATCAGTACCTTACCACATCTGGCACCGGGGTTACCTTGTTGGGGAACACAGTATCTATCTCCTCCTGCAGTTTGGTCATGTTGTGGGGGTTACCTTGTTGGGGAACACAGTATCTATCTCCTCCTGCAGTTTGGTCATGGTGTGGGGGTTACCTTGTTGGGGAACACAGTATCTATCTCCTCCTGCAGTTTGGTCATGGTGTGGGGGTTACCTTGTTGGGGAACACAGTATCTATCTCCTCCTGCAGTTTGGTCATGGTGTGGGGGTTACCTTGTTGGGGAACACAGTATCTATTTCCTCCTGCAGTTTGGTCATGTTGTGGGGGTTACCTTGTTGGGGAACACAGTATCTATCTCCTCCTGCAGTTTGGTCATGGTGTGGGGGTTACCTTGTTGGGGAACACAGTATCTATCTCCTCCTGCAGTTTGGTCATGGTGTGGGGGTTACCTTGTTGGGGAACACAGTATCTATCTCCTCCTGCAGTTTGGTCATGGTGTGGGGGTTACCTTGTTGGGGAACACAGTATCTATCTCCTCCTGCAGTTTGGTCATGGTGTGGGGGTTACCTTGTTGGGGAACACAGTATCTATCTCCTCCTGCAGTTTGGTCATGGTGTGGGGGTTACCTTGTTGGGGAACACAGTATCTATCTCCTCCTGCAGTTTGGTCATGGTGTGGGGGTTACCTTGTTGGGGAACACAGTATCTATCTCCTCCTGCAGTTTGGTCATGGTGTGGGGGTTACTTTGATGGGGAACACAGTATCTAACTCCTCCTGCAGTTTGGTCATGACATGTGGGTTTTTAGCCAGGTTATAGGCCAGGAAACTCAGAGTACTGCTGCTGGTCTCGTAGCCGGCAAAGATAAAGATCATGGCCTGAGACAAGATCTCATGATCGGTCAGTCCTGTGTGGGGGGTGGGGGGTGGTGAATTGTTAACAGGTGTGTGTTTGTAACAGTAGTTTACAGGTGTGTGTTTGTAACAGTAGTTAACAGGTGTGTGTTTGTAACAGTAGTTTACAGGTGTGTGTTTGTAACAGTAGTTAACAGGTGTGTGTTTGTAACAGTAGTTAACAGGTGTGTGTTTGTAACAGTAGTTTCCAGGTGTGTGTTTGTAACAGTAGTTAACAGGTGTGTGTTTGTAACAGTAGTTTCCAGGTGTGTGTTTGTAACAGTAGTTAACAGGTGTGTGTTCGGCAGGTACCTTTAGTCTGTTCCTCTCCTGTCTTTGTGTCGCTGCCTTTCTGAGAGTCGATCATCAGCTGTAAGAAATCCACCCGACTCTGGAAGCAGAAATAAATGATGTAAAAATCCATCCAATCACAACCAACACAAACAGATTCTACTGGATCTGGTCCAATCACAACCAACACAAACTGTCACGACTTCCTCCGAGGCTGCCTCCCCTCCTTGTTCGGGCAGGCTTTGACGTTCGTCGTCACCGGAGTACTAGCTGCCACCCATCGATGTTTCTGTGTTACACTAGTCATGTCTTTATTATTCACACCTGTTACCCATTATGCTTATTTGTTTCCCTATAATGACCTCTGTTTTCCCTCCTGGGTTTGTGCGTGATTGTCCATTGTTTTACGTCGTTTTGGTGAGCTGTTGTACTGCTCTTCCCTGTGTGGAGGGTTTGTTATGGTTTACTTTTGTTTTAGTAAATCCATTTCTCAGTTCTGTGTCCTGCGCCTGATTCTGTTTCACCACTTCACCCAGACGTTGACAGAATCACGCACATCTATGGAGTCAGCAGGCACGTCCGATCCCAGCGCCTCGGTGGAGGAACGCATCCAGCAGCAACTCGACCGTGCTGCAGACTCTAGGTCTGGCTGTGGATCGAGTGGTGAACACCATGGATCGATGGGAGAGAGGTGGTTTCCCTACACTTCCTCCTCCTCCGATTTCTTCCCCATCAAAGACCATCAAACCCTAGATCCAGTGGAATTCGGCTCTCGCTCCCAATGGGACAGCTGCCGGGTGTAAGGGTTTCCTGCTCCAGGTGGAGCTCTACCTGGCAACCATCCACCCGGCTCCCTCGGGATACGAGAGCGTGTCCGCCCTCATCTCCTGTCTGTAGGGCAGAGCGCTGGAATGGGCCAACGCGGAGTGGGGTGGAAAAGATGCTGAGTCCGTACGTTACGAGGATTTTACCCGCCGTTTCCGGGCAGTATTTCGATCATCCGCCGGAGGGGAGAGCAGCAGGGGAGCGTATGTTTCACCTCAGACAGGGAAGGATGAGCGCACAGGACTTCGCCCTGGATTTCAGGACACTGGCAGCCAGCGCGGGATGGAATAAGAGGGCCCTGATTGACCACTACCGATGCAGTCTACGGGAGGACACTCGTAGAGAGCTGGCCTGCAGGGACACGAATCTAAACCTGGACCAGCTGGTAGATTTATCGATCCGGCTGGATAACCTGTTGGCCACCCGCGGACATCCGGATCAGGGTCCGTCCAGTCCATCCCCCAGCACTTCCGACTCCACTCCTATGGAGCTTGGAGGTGCTGATGTGGAGAGACTCTGCAAGTGGGTGGTCTCCTGCACCAACTGTGGCCGCAGAGGACACACTGCGGGCCGTTGCAGGAGAGAGCAGCAGGCAGGGACCTGGTGGGCCATCCCAGGTGAGTAGGCACCCAACTCACCCAGAGCTCCCTGTTGCTCACATGATGGTCAATGTAAATTTCCCTGGGTTTTCCCCACATTCGCAGTATAAGGCGCTCGTAGATTCCGGTGCAGCTGGGAATTTTATGGATAGGCTGGTTGCGCATAAATTAGGGATTCCTATATTGCCTGTAGATGTGCCCTTCCCCATACGTGCCCTAGATAGTCGCCATGTAGGGTCGGGTATGGTTAGGGAGGTCACAGTTCCACTCCGTATGGAGACGCAGGGGGGTCATGAGGAAAAAATGTGTCTCTTCCTTATTGATTCTCCTGTGTTTCCCGTGGTGCTGGGGCTTCCCTGGCTAGCCACCCATGACCCCAGGATTTCATGGCAACAGAGGGCTCTTAAGGAATGGTCACCTCAGTGCTCGGGAAGGTGTGTAGGTGTTTCCGTAGGGGCAACTACGGTGGAGAGTCCAAACCATGTCTCCACAATGCACATTCTCTCAGAATATGCCGATTTGGCTCTCGCCTTCTGTAAGAAGGCGGCGACTCAATTACCACCCCATCGACGAGGGGATTGTGCGATAGATCTCCGGGAGGGTGCTGCACTTCCCAGGAGTCACGTGTATCCTCTGTCACAGGAGGAGACGGTGGCTATGGAGAAATATGTCACCGAATCTCTGGGACAGGGATACAGTCGGCCCTCCACTTCCCCTGCCTCCTCAAGTTTATTTTTTGTGAAGAAGAAGGATGGAGGTTTACGCCCGTGCATTGACTATCGAGGTCTAAATCAGATAACCGTAAAATACAGCTATCCTCTACCTCTCATAGCTAGTATGACAGAGTCATTGCACGGGGCGCACTTCTTCACAAAATTGGACCTCAGGAGCGCGTACAATCTGGTCCGTATCCGGGAGGGGGACGAGTGAAAGATGGCATTTAGTACCACCTCTGGTCACTATGAGTACCTCGTCATGCCGTACGGGTTGATGAATGCTCCCTCAGTCTTTCAATCCTTTGTCGATGAGATTTTCAGGGATCTGCACGGACAGGGTGTAGTGGTGTATATAGATTATATTCTCATATACTCCGCTACACGCATGTGTCCCTGGTGTGCAAGGTGCTTGGTAGACTGTTGGAGCATGACCTGTACGTTAAGACTGAGAAATGTTTGTTCTTCAAACAGTCCGTCTCTTTCTTAGGATACCGCCTGTCAGAGTCAGGGGTCGAGATGGAGTGTGACCGCATTTCAGCCGTGCGTAATTGGCCGACTCCTACCACGGTAAAGGAGGTGCAGCGATTTTTGGGGTTTGCCAACTACTACCGGAGATTTATCCGGGGCTTTGGCCAGGTAGCAGCTCCCATAACCTCTTTACTGAAGGGCGGACCGGTGCGCCTGCAGTGGTCAGCTGAGGCGGAAGGGCTTTTGGTCAGCTGAAGGCGCTGTTCACCTTGGCTCCCGTGCTGGCTCATCCGGATCCTTCCTTGCAATTCACAGTCAAGGTGGACGCGTCCGAGGCTGGGATAGGAGCTGTACTGTCTCATCGCTCGGGTACGCCTCCCAAACTCCGCCCCTGTGCTTTATTTTTGAAGAAGCTCAGCCCAGCGGAGCAAAACTATGATGTGGTGGACCGGGAGCTGTTAGCTGTTGTGAAAGCTCTTAAGGTGTGGAGACATTGGCTTGAGGGGGCAAAACACCCTTTTCTCATTTTGACTGACCACCGCAATCTGGAGTACATACGGGCAGCGAGGCGACTGAACCCTCGTCAGGCAAGGTGGGCCATGTTTTTCACGCGTTTTGTGTTCACCCTATCGTACAGACCAGGTTTCCAGAATGCTAAGGCAGACACTCTGTCCCGGCTGTATGACTCAGTGGAGCGGACGAGGGAGCCCACTAACATACTTCCGGCTTCTTGTCTGGTGGCACCGGTGGTATGGGAGGTTGACGCGGACATCGAGCGGGCGTTACACACGGAGCCCACTCCCCCCCAGTGTCCAGTGGGTCGTTTGTACGTTCCGTCTGAGGTTCGCGATTGTTTGATCTATTGGGCTCACACGTCACCCTCCTCTGGGCATCCTGGCATCGGTCGGACAGTGCGCTGTCTTAGTGGGATGTACTGGTGGCCTACCTTAGCTCAGGACGTGAGGGTTTATGTTTCTTCCTGTTCGGTGTGCGCCCAGTGCAAGGCACCTAGACACCTGCCCAGAGGGAAATTACAACCTCTCCCCGTTCCACAACGGCTGTGGTCACACCTATCGGTGGACTTTGATACGGATCTTCCTCCGTCACAAGGTAACACCACGATCCTGGTTGTTGTGGATCGGTTTTCTAAGACCTGTTGTCTCATTCCTTTGCCCGGTTTCCCTACTGCCCTACAGACCGCGGAGGCCCTGTTTACACACGTCTTCCGGCACTACGGGGTACCTGAGGATATAGTGTCTGATCGGGGTCCCCAGTTTACATCAAGGGTCTGGAAGGCGTTCATGGACCATCTGGGGGTCTCGGTCAGCCTGACCTCAGGGTTTCACCCTGAGAGTAATGTGCAGGTGGAGAGAGCAAACATTGACAAACATAGGTTTCCTAAACATAATATATACTGAACAAAGATATAAATGCAACATGTAAAGTGTTGTTCCCATGTTTCATGAGCTGAAATAAAAGATCCCAGAAATGTTCCATACTCACAAAAAGTTGATTTCTCAAAAGTTTTGTACACAATATTGTTTACATCCTTGTTAGTGAGCATTTCTCCTTTGCCAATATAATCCATCCACATGACAGGTGTGGCATATCAAGAAGCTGATTAAACAGCATGATCATTACACAGGTGCACCTTGTGCTGTGGACAATAAAAGGCCACTCTAAAATGTGCAGTTTTGTCACACAATACCACAGATGTTTTACGTTTTGAGGGAGCGTGCAATTGGCATGCAGGAATTGTCACGATCGTTGATGAACGATCTGACGCTCGTCGGATGTGGCAGGGCTTGAAAACTATTACAGACTACAAAGGGAAGCACAGCCGCGAGCTGCCCAGTGACACAAGCCTACCAGACGAGCTAAACCACTTCTATGCTCGCTTCGAGGCAAGCAACACTGAAGCATGCATGAGAGCACCAGCTGTTCCGGACGACTATGTGATCACGCTCTCCGTAGCCGATGTGAGTAAGACTTTTAAGCAGGTCAACATTCACAAGGCCGCAGGGCCAGACGGATTACCAGGACGTGTACTCCGAGCATGTGCTGGCAAGTGTCTTCACTGACATTTTCAACATGTCCCTGACTGAGTCTGTAATACCAACATGTTTCAAGCAGACCACCATAGTCCCCGTGCCCAAGAACTCTAAGATAACCTGCCTAAATGACTACCGACCCGTAGCACTGACGTCTGTAGCCATGAAGTGCTTTGAAAGACTGGTCATGGCTCACATCAACAGCATAATCCCAGAAACCCTAGACCCACTCCAATTTGCATACCGCCCCAACAGATCCACAGATGATGCAATCTCTATCGCACTCCACACTGCCCTTTCCCACCTGGACAAGAGGAACACCTACGTGAGAATGCTATTCATTGACTACAGCTCAGCATTCAACACCATAGTGCCCTCTAAGCTCATCACTAAGCTAAGGATCCTGGGACTAAACAC